TTCCTAAAATTTCTTAATTTAAGACGGTTACGTGCGTTAATATCCCCGGACAAAATATCCCCGCGACAAAATATCCCCGGACAAAATTTACATTTATAAGACGTGTGTACATGACAACGTCTGTCGGGTCCGCTAGTATGTATATATATATTTTTTTTTGAAAATTTTTAATTATAATTAATTTATAAAAAAAAATAAATAAAAACATTATAATAATGATTAAAATGAAGTATTATCAAAAATAATAAATTAAATTTTTAATAATTAAATATAAAAAAGGTTTATAAAAATATTTTCTTCACAAAAATTTATTTATTTCTAAATTCATTTATTTTGGGAGTGAATGCGGAGTGAATTTTATTATTAATAAAAATTAACTCCTTCTCGGAGTAAATATCACTCCCGCTGGGAGTGAATCAATTAAAAATCATTCACTCCTTATTCACTCCGCAAATTTTTTACAGTGTAAAATTACGATTCAGTTATTATATTGTTAATGTTACCATTTAAGGTTCCAAACTTTAGCAAGATTTTGTTTTTTTGAACAATATTTTCATAGTAAATAAACGAAAAAAAATGTTTTTTTTTTTTTCAACTCACTTGACGACAAATATCAGAAATTGATGTTAGTGACTAGGTATTTATTTAAATTGCTAAAAGTTTAAATATAATAAATGGTAGAAACAAATAATAAGCTTAAGGTAGTTGTAGCGTGAAAGCCATTTCAACAGAAAGTTATGAAATTTTTTTTATCGAAAGATAAATATATAAATAATTCACTACCAAAATTTCAGATCAATTTACCGCACTGTTTTTGAGTAATTAATTTTTGAAATTGCATTTTTTACACGTAGAGGTATAGAGAGATGGTAAAGTTAGTATGAAATCTTTGGCCCACTCGAGTGGTACGGAAGATTTCATACTAACTTTACCATCTCTCTATACCTCTACGTGTAAAAAATGCAATTTCAAAAATTAATTACTCAAAAAACTTAAGGTAGTTGTAGCGTGAAAGGCATTTCAACAGAAAGTTATGAAATTTTTTTTTATCGAAAGATAAATATATTAATAATTCACTACCAAAATTTCAGATCAATTTACCGCACTGTTTTTGAGTAATTAATTTTTGAAATTGCATTTTTTACACGTAGAGGTATAGAGAGATGGTAAAGTTAGTATGAAATCTTCCGTACCACTCGAGTAGGCCAAAGATTTCATACTAACTTTATCATCTCTTTATACCTCTACGTGTAAAAAATGCAATTTCAAAAATTAATTACTCAAAAACTGTGCGGTAAATTGATCTGAAATTTTGGTAGTGAATTATTTATATATTTATCTTTCGATAAAAAAAATTTCATAACTTTCTGTTGATATGGCTTTCACGCTACAACTACCTTAATGATACATTCAAAATAGAAAATAGCCAGACTTGCCCGACTGGATTTGTACTCGTTCTACTTTAATTTTAATTCAAATCGACCACATTGCTATGGTATCTGACATGAGTTAGCATTATGTATGTATGTTTGTATATTATGTGTATGAAGAATTTATGAATAAAAATTTTAACTTACTCATAGGATTGGACGGAGTGCATCCCATCAAGTTCCACAAGTCTTCCTGATTATTCAACATTGGTATCTGCAATCAAATCAAATAAAACAAAAATTTTATTCACTAGATTCACTAGGTTCATTAAACTCGAAAAAGTATGACTAAAGTTAAATGGAACAACAAAAAAACGAATTGAAAATAAATGAGAAATTAAAAAGATGTCATTCAACTTGGTCATAAAAGTTGTTTTCCTCTTGACTATGGAGTATTATAAAAAAGTCCATTAGGTAATAGAAACAAGAAAGAGTTCTAGTTGTGTGTCTGGCCCTTAGGCTATGTTTTTTCAATGGCGATGAGCCGTAAATGTAGGTGGGAAGAGAACGATCTCTGTGAATAGATGACTCTCTTTTCACAGACAGGTGACATGTGTACACACCTCTCAATGTTCGTGTTAAACCTATGAAATATTTACCGGAAGTTTAAGAAAGGTTAGTGACTTTTCAAAAAGCCACTGACCTAAAATTCATAATTTGATCCATGAAATTTCAGTTCCAAGTTATCAATTACAATATTTAGATTTGATTTGAATTTATTTAAATTGAGTTTTATTGCTTTCACTATCTAAATCAAGAGAGAAAAGTGATATAGTGTGTAGAAAAACAAGAAGAAAACCTGCTTTTACACGCAGAGAAAAGAATAGATCTTATTCCTAGGTTAGAATGATAACCATTTTCAACATTAAATAAAAATTATTGTTTTTGAAGCTAGAGTTTCGGGAGTCGAAACTTTTTTTTAGAAATTTTTTCCTCTTCAAGAATCTTTTTTACGATTTTTGATATCACCTATAGTTATTGAATTATTTACAAAAAACTGACATTTTTCCTTTTGTTGATGTTTTTTGTTAACAACATATTAAAATTTTTATTTATCAAAACAACAAAGTAACAAAGACATTATTTTTATAATTTAATTCCGCATCGAATGAGTGATTGTTAATGTTTTCATTACAATTTGTAAGATATTTCTCAGGAAATATACACAGGATTCTCACAAAAATTTCCATTACTATGTAACATATGTTACTATTAGTCCAAGATCCCAGAGCGTTCTAACATAACTTATTTTCACATGGATGAAAGCTTCACGAATTAGTAGCGTCTAGTATACTTTAAATACCTGCCTACTTGTGGAGCTTGCCCTGTGACACCAGGTACCAGGTGAGAAAGGTAACTAAAAATATGAGTTATCTAACTTAAATTTGTATGGCTGATTTTTATATATATTTTGTAGAATATTATTCTAAACTAGAATTATAAAGTGTCAGACACTTTTCATGGACCAGAGCTTTTGTCAGACGCTTTAAAGCTCGACAAAAAATTAATGAACTTTACTTATTTTTTCATGTCTGACTTTTAAATATGTTATTCAAGTAACTATTACAAAGTTATATTTCATCAGTCAGACACATTCGAGTGACCAAACATCCCCTAAACACAAAATTATTCAGCCGGGAGTGCGAGCGCGAGAGCACTATGCGCATGCGTCTTAGAGTAAAAAATTGAAATGTATTGAAAATACTTACTAATTTCAATCCAAGATTTTTGCATCCTTATTTCAATAAGATCCCTTATTTAAAAAAAAAGATTTAAAAAGATTCAACCCATGTAAAATGTATATCTATGTATTTGTCAAGTTGAATCTTTTTTAATCTCTTAGAGCCATTTCGAATCTTTTCAAATCTCTTTTTCTAATCAGGGATGAGCTTCAATATTAAGTTGTGAATTAATAAATATTAAAGTGAATTTATTTATTGCATGTATTTGGTATAGTGAATATATGAGGAGTAAAGTGCTTTTTTTTTCAACTATTTTTTTTTTTTCGGTCCCATCGTGAAATTTTGTTGCAAGTACCCAAAAAAAAAAATACCCTGAAAGTTTGGGCCTTTAATATTAATATTAACACCTCGACCCAGACGTTTAAAGATTTCCCCTTAAAAAAACACAGAAACTTTGGCTTTTCATGTTTATTTTCTATAGCTCAGTGGCATTTCATAGCATTACTTCGACCATGGACGGGTTTTTTTCAGAATTGAATGCTCTACAAAAGTGTCCATTGCAGCCAAGCCGTAACTCGAACCGGCAAGGTAGTACAGGCCTCTAAACTTTATTTTTCTATGAAATTCGCGTTTTTTCGCATTTATCTCGTGATTAAAACAAGAGCTACAGAAAAAATTTGAACGACAAACTTGTACACAGAAAAAAAAGTCATCTTGAGTCAAGTAATATTTACTTGATCCAAGTATATTCAACTGAAGATAAAATATATTCTTGAGTTAAGTAAATTTTTTTCTTGTTTTGGTCAATCTTGGTTTAAGCAAATATTCCCTAGTTCCAACACCCGAGTCGAAATTTCGATCGGATTTTGAACGTTTTGATCCGAAATTGATCGTACTTTGAGCGTCATGATCCGACTAGTTCGTATATTGAACCTCCTGATCCGAAATTGATCGTACTTTGATCTCCATGGTCCGACTAGTTCCGATTTTGAACGTCTTGGACGTACTGTCTACCGAGAAATCGGATTTTGAACTCCTCGGTCCGATCGTTCACCGAGAGATCCGATTTAAAATCTTCAATTCCGATAAAAGTTATAAATAAAACTTTATTTATTATAAACAATTATTGAATAAATTAAACTAATTATAAAAATAATTTCTGTCCATATTGACCTTAACTTGCATAGATTCATTCTATTTATCTATACATTTATTGTGTTTTTGTAATTCCTCAAGTGCAATATAATTTGTTAACAAACATACAGGTGAAGCTAATAAAAAGCGTGTAATTACATTTTTCGAGAAATAGTTAAATGAAGAAATAATTAATTTTTTCCTAAGTTTTTAGTAATTGATGGTTCATTTTTTTTTTTTCAAAATCCTATCAATATATAAAATAATTTTTGTCCATATTAACCTGTAACTCGCGTGAATGTATTCTATTTATCTATACACTTATTATATTTAACCAAAACAATTGCATATCGTTAAAATTGATTTGGTCTTAAAACAATTAAAATATAATAATTTACAGTTGAGTCAAAACACGTCAAGTGGACCCCCCGTTTAGTACTTTAATTAAAGTTAGGAATTAATTTAATTGAGATAATATTAATTAATTAAGTGACTGTTAAAATGGGTACAGTAATAGCAAGGCGGTTAACAAAGAATAAAGTAAAAATATATAAATGAGAGTTATCTACTTGTCAGCCAGCTCAACTAGTTTTGTCTACGTTTTAGGAATATACACTGAAAAAAAATTGTTTTTCACCCAGAATACAAAATATACTCATCCAAGTTTTTCTATATCCCATATACGTTTTTTAATATAAAAAAACTGTTATTTTTCGCCTGAGAATACCTAAGTTTTTTTAGGAGCTAAAACTTTATGCTGCGTTACGATAGTAACCGCAGCGGTGACGCCACCAATTCTCTGATTTCCCTCCAATTTTACAGTCCTGGCGTGTTTGTTTACGTCATTGAAAAGTTGTACTAATTTATTATTTATTGAACAATCACCTAGCTCTATTACAATTGATATTAAAATTTGGATGGATCCTTGGATACGAAAAAAGTTGCTCGAATGGGATTTACCATCTCTGCAAAAAATCTTTGAAGGTAATTGTTTGTTTTAATTCATCTTTTTAAGAGTTATTCATTATACAAATTTGATTCAATAAAATAAAAATAGAAATCAAGCCGTGGAAAGTAATTAAAAATTCAATTTGTCAATAATTTAATTGATAATTAATTAAATTTTTTTAAATTGAATTATTATAATTGATTAAATTTTTTTTAAATTTAATTATAATTAATTTAATTATAGTTGATAAATTAATAATTTCTAATTTATTAATTATAATAAAAAAGGTCCACCGTATCATAAAAATATCATATGCATCTGTGTCAAACGAGGTTAAGTCGGCCATATTTTTATTTTGGTATTTTGCTGAGGAAGAAACCGAGTATTTTAAAAATCACTATACTATATAGTGTGGGGAAAAAACTATGGTATTCTTGACACAGGTATACCAGTTTCTTTACTGGAGGGAAAAATTTTCTAGGTGGAAAAAAACTTTTGTCATATCAACCGCGAAAGTTGGATTTTCGAGCAACATACAGAGGGCGCAAAGGATACTATTTCTGGCAATCTATAGTTTAGTTAATTTACCTCGCACTAGTATCAAAAAGTAACTTCTCTCTCTCTATCTGTATCTACATCTTGTTTAATCTACGTTTAATCCATCGCTATTTAATCTTGTGTGACATAATTCTTGTGCCTTTAAATAAAATAAACAGTAATTGAATATTCTTGACTGTTTGCTCAAATCCAACTTCCGCAATTGATATGACAAAAAATGATGTTCGATACTTTATGCTCAAAGGTAGGGGCCCTGACAAACTTGAAGTGAAGGCACACGTTTGAGGCTATGGATACATTCTCATCAAGACCTCGTACTATATCCGGATTCACCACACGGTGAGAAATTTCTGTAGAAATTTACTATGCATACATAAGAAGACTGAACCTTAATGACTCAATTCAAAATATTACCATAAAAATTTAAGAATATCATATTGTACCAATCAATATTTACTAGGGACCATAGTAAATTTGAACATGCAACTGTTACATGAACATATATAAAAAATTTTCGTAAACTGACAGAACAAAAACTGTTAGTGTACTTAAAACTTTTTGTTATTAGTTCAAAAATCCATCAATACATCAATAATTAGTGAAATATTGTAAGATTTATAAATAATAAAGGTAATTAATAAAATATTTAATAATTTACCATGAAAAATTAAAATGTAAACAAACATTTGATGGTTAACCTGCAACTTTCACTTTTCTAAATGAAAATTAAGTTAGCCGACATCTAAAAATTTTTCGAATTTTTTTTATTAAAAAAACAATTACATAATAATTAAAAAAAATTTTCATTTGTAAAAAACTTGAAAAACTGAAAGTGCAATTTTTAAAAAATATTTTTTAGTTCTAATTTAATATTTTATTTAAAAAAAAAAATCAAGAAATTAAAAACGTCGGCTAACTTTAGTGTTATTTTTTCTAATAATAATAAAAATGTCAGACATCCAAAAATTGTTAATTTTATCAATGGAAAAATTATAAATAAATTTTATTTATTGTTTATCATTCTATTTAGAAATTGATTTTTTTTTTAAATTACTTTTGTTGGATGTCTATCATTTTAAGTGCTACGTAGTTTTTGTAATCTTTGGAATTTTTATAGTTGCATTGTTTTTTAAATGAATTGTGATTGTGAATTAATAAAAATATATGTGTGTCATTGTATAGGTTGTGGAAACAGACAGTATGATAGACAATTTAGAGGACTCGGGGGTGGAGTATTCGGCATATTTTTGTTTTAACGTTTATTGTTGTGACATTACGCATGTATGTGTATCTAACTAATTCCTACATCACTTTTAGGGCAATGGTGATCTGGATATTGATGATCCGAGCCGTGATTACGAGGGAGTCGTAAATTCAAACGGGAGCAGTGATGATGAACCAAGTGATTCAAACGAACCTAGATCTGGAACGTCTTCTAATTCACAACTTCCAGCAACTGGTATTCCAGTAGCAAATAATATACGAGTAAATTCAACCACGGTATTTATCTGTCATTGTTCAACTCTTTTTTTAATTTACATGAAATTTCTTCAAACTTTTTTTTCATGTGGTAGAGACTATACCGCATCTTGAATGATGATTCTGATGGTCGTGTGATTCTAAGTATTTATGAAAAGAAAAGGAAGTTGATACCCAAAGCTAGAAATAGACTGACAAGATTCGTAATTAAGTTTGAACGTGACAAAGCAATTGAAAACTTGGAGCCAAGGGGACAGTTACTTAATTTCATGTAAGTAATTGAACACTATTGTTAAAAAAGTTGATTAATCTATATTTATCTTTGTTTCATAAAAATTTAAAAATATTTTTCTTTTCTTTAGGATATCATCTACAAGATTTATTTTTTGGTCAAATGAAATTGCAAAAACGTTTCCTGGTGAACGTGCGGCGACTTACTATACTCCATATGAGTCAGCGGATGATTACGAGATAAATGCCAGTGGTAAACTTTGGCATCACTACAATTATATTAAAAGCAAACTTAAAGAAAGCGGTCTTTTGGTAAATCTCCGAGCTCCAGTTGATCCCCTTCCATTAGATGGTTTGTATCACTAAAATGCAATTCATTTTCATAAACAGTTAAATATTGTCTAAATTATTTATTTTTTAGTGAACATTGTTGAGCAGCTAAATACTTTACGCACTAAAGTTGAACCATGGTGTACGGTGTTAGAATTGTGGCAAAGAACATTTGAAGCCCGAAGAAACTTTTTGATTAAAGAAAGACCAACGGTGGTAGAATATTTAAATGCATATGCATGTTTGCGTATACAGAAAGCTATTGATTTAGTATGATTTGTTCTTAATGAATAACTTATTATTTGTATTTTGTATCTTTTTATTGCAATTGAATTCTAATGTAAATCATTTTTATTATAGTTTGAAGCAGATTTTGTGCAATTGTTTCCAGAAAAGTCGGCTTCTTTCAGAAAGAATTGGAAAGAAAGTCGAGATTTTCTCATTACTAAACTGCGGAACATAAAAATCTCAAATATAAACGATAACGGATTGCTTCACATTGTCACAACATTAAGTTCAGGTATACAATTAAATCAATTTTAGTGAATAGACTTGACATAGTTATTAGTTTTGTAAAGTTATAAAACTTTTTTGTATTGTTTAGATGTTCAGGATACAGTAATTTTCTATTTATTGCCTTATCTGATTGCTGGTGGGCTAACAAGTCGAAAAAGAAAGCGAAAATCGACTACAAATGAAAACAGTGATGCCACAGTTAATTCTAATAATGTTGTTAACCCTACTGCTGAAGTAGAAGCTCAGCAAGAATCTGGTAGCAAGAAACGAAAACCTCGGGTAGCTTTTCAAGAGCGTCGTGATACTTTTATATTGCAACTTGAGGTAAATATTTAAAAATATTTTTAAGCTTCTTTAAATTAAAAAAAAAAAGAAACGAAATTATATGATATTAATTTTTTACATTTTAGAATGTTCTTGATCTTGAAGAGATCGTGAATGCAACAAATCAACGTCGCGGCTCATCATCACTTCAACACAATTGATAATCCACGTAGTCTAATTAATTTGCGCATCATTCGATAAATAATTTAATGGACATTAATTTTTTCACTGGTAAAAATCAATTTAAGATAATAGATAGCTATGAAGAATCGCAATTTAAAATATATTTGTTACTTCGATAAAGAATAATTTATTAACTTCAATAAAGTATACTTTAAGATAAAGAATAATTTATTAACTTCAATTACAATTAAAGTATACTTTATTGAAGTTAATAAATTATTCTTTATCGAAGTAACAAATATATTTTAAATTGCGATTCTTCATAGCTATCTATTATCTTAAATTGATTTTTACCAGTGAAAAAATTAATGTCCATTAAATTATTTATCGAATGATGCGCAAATTAATTAGACTACGTGGATTATCAATTGTGTAATTAATTAAATAGTTACAAAACCGAGGCAAAACTAATTTTTCCATCGTAAAGCACTCTCTGATGCTTCGTATCACGAGTCGTGCAATTGTAGCCTACATAAAACGTATTTTTAACATAGCGCCATCTATTGGATACTTAATCCAGTCAACTGATTACTTTATATACCGCCATTTGTTAGTCTTATCGAACTAACAGATAATTATGACTCTTTGTCAGATAATAAACAAATAATTCGCAATAAAATGATATTGCGATTCTAAATTGAAATGTAAACTATCCTATCTTTCAAGTTGAATAAAACTGCACATAGTGCACAAAATTTTATTAAAATCGGTTCAGTAGTTTAGGAGTCCATAGCAGACAAACAACGTGACACATAATTTATATATATTAAGAAGAAAGATAAACAAAATTGCCAGAAAAATAAGATGTGTGAAAATTCGTCCGATGAGGCACGGGGCACGGGTCTATTATACACTGTATCTGTTCTCGTACCCGTGCCCCGTGCATGTGAAATATCTGCACGGATGTAGGGTATGCATATACCCGTGCCCCGTGCCTCATCAAACAAATTCTCACAGTTAAATAATATATTAAAAAAAAAATAAAATTACTTTTATTTAGACAATTTAAAGAAGTTTGAAAAAATATATTCACTCATCATTAAAAAAGATAATTGAAATTAATAAAAATTACTATTAAGGTGTACGTTTTAGTCTAAAGTCACCTTTCTTTCAGCTGTAATAGAAAATTATATTTTCAAATAGTTAAATATGTTTTTTGGCTTAAAATAATTTTCATTTTAATCATTCAATAAAAATAATTTTCTATGGTCCTTATTTTAAATTAGACGAGTTTATTGAGCTTGAAATAGTCTATTGCGTGCGTAAAAAGACATTTAGTCACGCTTTTTGTATGACCAGCAAATTTCAAACTTTAAAAATTTTAACTTGCGATAAAATTACTAATTTATAAAGTTTCTACATTACTTGAAATATTTAAACGACAGTTTTGTAAAGAATCATAAGGCCGGTAAAAAGTTGGTGTATGGAACAAACTGATAAATTCTCAATTTAAGAAGTTTTAAGCAGTTTAGAATAATATCGTAGAAGAAATAAATAAATCAGATTTATTTCCTTGAAGTTGAATGTTTTATGATCTATAAAATTGTTATGACAAATGAAGCTAGAAAAGTAGTATTAATTGTTAAGAAATCATATAACTGGTTATAAAAAGTAAGGATTTTCAACTTCTCGCTGTGAAAAAATTGAAAATTTTCAAAAATTGGGAAGTTATTGTTTTTAACCCGTTTTTCGAAAATCGAGTTTTCATCAGATCTCGACGTTTTGAGGTCCTAGGAAGCTTCCCTGACTACTCCCGCGATGGTGTCACTGTCTCTTTGTCTGAAAGTATGTGAACCGCTTATAACTTTGGAACGGCTCATCCGATTTTATCGCAGTTGGCACTATTTGAAAGGACTTGGCCAAACTTAGATTTTGAATATAATTTAGACCAATTTGGATCGATAGATTTTGAGAAATCTTAAAAAAACTGCGAAAAAAATTTTTTTCAAATGTGATTTTTTTTAATAACTTTCAAACGGCTTGACCGATCAATTCCAAAACTAATCAGCTCTTAACATCAAAAAACCACGTTGATCACCACCAAGCCGGTCAAAATCGGTTGATTCGTTCGTGAGTTATCGTTGACGAAAGAAATCGAAAAAAAGTGTTTTTTTCGAATTACACCAAAATTTCCAGTCTGATCAATTTGTGTTTGAAAATATATCATAGAATTTTAAAAACTGCGTCGAATGCTGCCAATCGCGTGAAAATCGGTTCATTCATTCAAAAGTTATTGCGTTTTGAAAATTCAAAAAATAGTGTTTTATTAAACTTTTATCAGACTTTCGAGCTCGGAGAGCTAAAAACTACACGAAAATTATATTTTTGCTATATTAATTTTTGTCGACCGTAATAATTATAATTCTTTTACCCCGTTTTTCTTGCCTTTTCGGTCATTTTTATTTATGCTAGTATAAATCTAATTCAAGTGGATGGCTCGAAGAGCTCAAAATCGTAATAAGTGCAATTTTGAGCGCTTAATTACGAAAGTAGCGGGAAGTTGCAGGGATGGCCTTCAGGGTCAACCGTTTTCCTAATTTTTTTTCAGGAATTTGGTTTAATTAAAGTTAATTTATTCTGTTTATGTGGTCATGGAGAAATTTTTCTCTTCGTCAAAAGCTTTTGAATAAATAATAACTGAAAAAAAAAATTTAAAAAAATTGGTGAAGCCGTTTTTAATTTAATTAATTTTTTTTTTTTTTTTCGTGCATTGATTTTCATTACGGGAAGTTAAAAAAAATTCATTAATTAGTGATCCCTTTTGAAATGATCTTAAATTTTTATCAAAAAAAAATCTCCAGTATAAATGACCTATTGATTTATGACGGAATTTATTTATTAAATGAAATTTATCGATTTAAATCTGATGGCAAAAAATTGATAAACTAGGTTTCACAATTGATCTCAATCAGTTATCCTCGATTATTATTCAAATTATCTATGATTCAATTTCACAATTTCAATTATATAATAAAATTATTTTATTAATTTTTTAATTTTTACTCATCCGATGTTTCTTCCATTATTTTTGATGATTCTATGAGTAGTAAAATGCGTAATTTAGTAGACTTTAAAGACTGATTGAATCAACGCGATGCACTTAAGTATACAAAAGGGTACTAAATTGATAAATTTGCATAGTCAAACGGACTCACTACAAGTATGTAGACTATACAACTAGTTATTCTTGAATTATATGCATGTACACTGAATGTGACTCAAATTATGATGATGCGTGTATGCGCGCTTTACACATCTATATATAGTATTATAATAGAGCAAAATAGATTACGGCATTAGATACTAATTATAATAATCGTTATGAGAGAAAAAAAATAACGATGATGATATTTAACAGTATTAAAAGTAATTGATAGACTATTCGCGTTTATATGAGACGACCAAAGAATATCGTGACAGCTTGATTGCTTCCGGTATGAGACTTCCGGTTCGTGACATCCGTCTAAGACGGTCCTCAACGAATTTAGAAAATATATGTGGCACCTCAGAAAATATGATAAATTTGGGACGGTGTCAATTATATTTAGGTAGAAATAAATTTTGGTTGAAGGACAAAAATATTTTGATATTTTTAAATCATTTTATCTTTCAAGTTTAAAAATAATTTTTATTCGAACATTTTGTCAGATTTATTGTTACAAACTGTTAAATTTTATCGAAAGACTATCACTGCTGTTATGAATGAAGATGTGTGCTTTAATAGGTTTAGGTTACGTTTGTAAAAAAAGAAAACTACGGAGGTTCGAGAACATTTATTGACCCAAATACATGAATGCCAGATGAAAGCAAAAAGTCACGAGTATATTGGCGGGTAAAAAATCGGTATTAATCAACAATAGAAAATAATTTATTTTTAGAACAGGAAAAAAAATTTTTGATATAGCTGAGAGAATATTTTATTAATAAATATAAAAGAGATTAGGCACTAAAAAAAAAGTTTTTTTTCCACCTAGGAAATTTTTTCCTCCAGTAAAGAAAGTGGTATACTTGTGTGGAGAATATCAAAGTTTTTTTCCTACACTAAAAAGTATAGTGATTTTTAAAAAACTCGGTTTCTTCTTCAGCAAAATAGAGGGTAGAAGTACCGTTTGTGGCCAGTGTACTTTTTTTGGCCACTTTATTTTTAAAATATTGTATAAATATTTCTATAAGCCCAAGATTTTATTATGAATTCAATTCGTATAAATCTACTAAATTCATAAATTCTATAAAAATTCTACTTGAATAGTTAAATTTTTTACAAATTAACAAAAATGTCAAGTAGCCAAAAATAGTCCTAAGATGCCCAAAATCGGTACTTCTACCCTACCAAAATAAAAATACGCCCGACTCAACTTCCCTCAGCGGTTTTGTCAGTACAGTGAAAAATACCATAAATTAACGCTAAATTGATCGTGGATTCACCGTCAAATGTTTGTAAATATTTAGTGATTCGACCGTCTTCAATAAGTGAGGTTGTAAACGATTTTCATCTTACTTTTACGAAACATTCATGGTTATTACACTCCGTTTTATCTTATATTTTTCCGTCAAGAGTTGAAAAAATAATCAATGATCACTGGTGTTGTCACTGTGAATGTACCGGCAGTAAATGCAGAAGGTACTGTGATATTACCGTAAATCTACAGTCTTTTAACCGATACTTCACTTTCAAATCACCTGCTAAATACTAGCATATCACTCTGGTGACTGCACCATTCCATCACGAAAAATTAAGGTAGTACCTCCGCGACAATCCAGATCAAAAATTTTGACTCGCTATCCATGTTATACGTATCGACAGAGCTAAGGTTGTAGGTTAAGATTTTTTAACGTTACTGTACTCGTCGACTACTATATTCTCTATACATATACACACACACTACGGTTTCAGTGACTAGCGGCTGTTTTTCGTACACCCTCTCCTAAAAATAATCCTCTAAAAGTGAAATTGTTTTTAATTAATCTCGAAAACTAC